CTTGCTTTGTCCTTGATACTGGAAAACGAGTTTGGATAAAAGGTTTGTTTACGTTTATTTGTTTTAAAATCCTGTAACGGTATTGTGCTATAAAATTACCGGTCTGTTTTATGGGATTCGTGGCTTGTGATCGTACTGCTGTACTTTGGTTTGATTACTTTTGCAAATGCATTACGTGGTGACCCACCTACTTAACTAGGTAAAGGAAAAAATATATGAACCAAGCTGTCTTTTAAAAAAGACAATTATTCAGATAGCAGTCATAGACGTTGATTTATCGTAATAGCAAAATAGGTCTTATGTAGCGTCGTTTAGAGATGTATTTGAAACATATTTCCAACAAAGTCTATTTAGAAACATTGATACGCCTATAAATATTCTCAAAGAAAAAAACTGCCTTACCTACTTTATGACCTAGACGAGCTTTAACCACAAATACGAGTAACAATGGCGATTGACCCAAACAGAAATTAGGTGAATCAACTCACGTGTGGTTTTTTATTCGTTCAAAAGTAATGCCAAGGTTTTAATTCCGTTATTGTGAATGTTACGTCATAACTATTGGCCTCGAACCGTGTAGGCTATTGACTTTATAATATTGCTAACTTTCTGCTTACATCGTGGTTTCGCTCGCGTGTTTTGCTAGTGAGTGATACATAACATGCTGTATAGTGTGATTTTTTTTTCGTATTTAAGAAGATTTTTCGAAATTGGAAGTGGAGAATTCTGATGTTTTTTTTTTCTATTTTTTTTAATGTTATATTGAGTATGTAGGTTATTTGAATTTTTTTGGCAAATCGATTTTATTTTGTTACTTTTTTTACTGAAGTAATTTTAACGATACTCTTCTGTTTTTTTTTATCACAAAACATTTTGTTTTTAAAATGCTATGCCATCATTCATGAGCAGCAAAAATATTTCAGTTAGTTACTCCAAATCGCTTTTATTATGTGAATTTTATTCTAAAGATATGAAACGTTTTAACCTTTCCTTATTTTTTTATACTATTGGGGTTTTCCTTCTTTAATCCTTTGTTTATCTGTTTACTGGTCTCATTTGCTAGGTATTACCAATTATTTACACAATATCTTTAAAGCGAGCCTTCTGCAAGTTTTTTCCTGTTTATTTACACACACCTGTTAAAGTAAATATATCAACTTAAAATGTGTTATTGTAATTCGCGACTAAGAAGTGTCCTAAGTGACTAAGATATGTATTTTTTTTTCTCTAAGAATTGTTTTTAAAAAATTATTGTTCGTGTATTCTTCTTTACATATATTGTACACATACGTATAATATTCTTACCAAGTACTTATCGCAAAAGCAATTTTTTATACCCAAAGCAAATAAATTAAAAAAAGAAACACCCGACATTAAAAAGGATTCGTTTTACTACGTCTGGATAGTCTCTATGTATCAGACACATATGAATATAAAACGTTATTTTTTTGTTGAATACTTTAGCAATCATTTATAAATGACGGTAGTGAAACAATCCCAAGAGCAATAAGGCAATATATCTTCCACTACTAATTTGAGTACCCATAATAAATATATTAATCCAGTACCAGGAAAATAAATTAATCTCCTTGCAAATATGATCTCCTGGTAAATGATTCCGTTAATACCGTGTAAATCTGTTGATTAAAGATGAAAGTTTAAACGCTTTGTATTTCTGCGGTCCTGGTATAATAGACGGTTTAATTTAACTCCGATGTGGGTCAGTGAAAAGACAATTAACATAGAACAATAATTAAATGTTAACTGTGCAATTAACTTTAATAATACATAGAAGGAAAGTTGATGAGTTATTGAAGTTTAGCGTTTTGAAAAGAGGTGACCGAACAGAAGAATAAAGTTATAGCTTAAAGGAAGTAAATAGAAGAAGCCAGTAGAACCAACTTAATTAATTGCAAAAGAGTAACCATGGAGTTTCTTATTCATTCTTCTCCATCGGAATCTATGCTTTGGAACGAGTAAAAGGCTTTACCAAGAGGACTGAACGACAGACTGACACATTTTTCTTTAACATTTGTTTGACCTTCAAAAGCACATGTTATGGTCTAATTGAATTAAATGATTCTGATTTTGACTTTGCAGTGGTCTTGGTTGAAGAACCAATGACTTTTGGGGTATTAGTGTTTTGTAGTGAAGATAGCGTCTAGAGAAAAGTAGTTTAGAATCAAAAGATTAATCGTAAGGTAGCTAGCATTGATAATATGCGTAGAGCTGATGGTTGAACTCAGTGGCGTGCCAATATCGTGGCGTGCTGGTGATCATAATTAACGTTTTGTTTAATAGTTGAAGTGTTAGTTTGACTAGTAATTTTGTTATATTAAAACTTCATGGCAGATCCATGCTTTACGACGAATGATTCGATTTGACCAAATTGATATAGCCTCATAGAAAACCAGCGTAGAACACATACTTTGTGTTGTGAGACCAAAGCCCAAGTTTTATCTTCCTCCATAACCAAATCTTTCTGGTATTGCGTATGTTCATATCTACGGCTGGCGCCGATTGATTATTCGGTGATCTGTCTGATCGTTAGCCACCCTGTCTCCACCACGCGATCTCAAAGATATTGCTATATATAAATACCTCCAACGTCCGTACCATTGTGCAGTTCATTTTGTAATAACATCAGTCTGAATATAAAATGCTGAACGTCGGCAATTTTGAAAGGAATGTCGGTGAACGGTTTAAGATCGGATTAAATGCATACTCGACCGAATGACATACTCACAAAGAGCAGGGTTGTCGAAAGCTTTTCGAAGATTTTAGAAAAAAGGGAACATCGAATTTTACCATTCATGTAGGTTCTTCTACAACCCATGGATTATGTGTTTTTTGTGATTTATGTCTTGAAGACGTTTATCGTTTTTTTTTTGTCTGGGGGACTATCATCAAATGACTTGTTTCGCTCTAAGTGGCCAGAGATCGAGTGTCAAACTCTAACTGACTAAAAACCATGAGTTCCTTCTCCTGCTCAACCCCAATTGTTCAAAAGAATCAGACTAAGATAAAATTAGAACTTCAAAGATCTGAAACCTGTAACTTGGTCAGCACTAGATTTTGTCATGATTATACAAGAAGTAAATAAAGTTCTCAAAATAGATGACCTCAAAAACGTATAAAAATTAAAAGTCATTTTAAACATATCGGTCAGTAGTGGTGTGGTGCAAAAAAAAAGTTTTATTCAAACCAATGATGATGCGTACAGCTAGGTAAGGGGCTTTTGTAACTAGACCTTGTTCCAGCCCTAAGAGTACCGTTGACAATGGGATTAATACGGACATTCCTTTCGACTGCGGTCGGTACTGTGGCGGTACTAACCAACAATATGCATTGTGGTGCCGAGTTACATACTATTGAGGGAAATATTAGATACTAGCTTCTGTCAGACATTATGCAGATAGCTTATGATCTTATTTAAAAAAAAAATTATAGAGTTAAATTAAGAATGTTTTTATGGACGTTACACAACATTATGGGGATTTCTTAAATAAATTTGAATATAGAACGTTATTTTTCTGAACTATTAACGGCCCTACCTTTCATCGCATAGGTGTCTATTTTCACCTCTACTTCTATGTAATTTTCTTTCACAAGAACCTTCTCCTGACAATAACAAACACAACAAAAAATGAATTGGCAAAAATTGTCCTGGCGTGGTTGAGTTATGGGCTTACCAACACATTCTGCAATACATTTTTATATTATAGAATAATAAAGCATTTAAGGATATTAGCCACTTACAAGAAGGTAATGCTGTGGTGAAAGGCCTTTGTAAATCGTCGAATAAAACCAGAAAACCATAATAAACACAATCGTTAAAGTTTAAACGCAAATAAACTAAGAACAAAATAGGGAAAGTGGCAAAGTTCAGTGTATGGAGATGAAAAGTAAGACATAGAACAGCTTATAATACAAGGTCAGTCGTGATCTGTTAGGGAAGGGCATTCAAGTAGGAACTAGAAAGTTTGAAAACGTATTTAAGACACGATCGCATATCAACCTAACCTAAACCGTCAAATTTGTCCAAAGGAGTTTCGACATTATTTGCAAAACGTAAGGTTGTTATTCCTATTAGGATAGCTTTATTTGCTGTTGTTTGTTTCTGGGTAATTGTTTAGATATAATGCTAATGTGATGTTAAAGGTTAGGGTCAAATGGCTTTGTTCTCGCTACTAAGCTTATTGCTTATATTGAGATAGTAATGGAAATTGAAATTTATTACCTATTATACTCAACATTTCTATAGTTCTGGAAATTCTGTCTTATGAATATACTAGCTTTTACCCGCGACTTTGCTCGTGTGGAATAGTGACTTCTTGCAGATTTTTGGTTTAAAAACTATCCTATGTCCTTTCTCGAGATCCAAACTATGTCTGTACCAAATATCCCACAAATAGGTTCAGAAGTTTAGGCGTAAAGAAAAGCAGACAGAGTTACTTTACGCATTTATAATATTAGTTTGGATTTAAACGTTTATCGGGCTTATATCTGTATCACGGAGTTTTCTCGTGAAGAACTCTATTTGTAACTTATAATTTTATCAAAATTTCTCCAGTAGTTTTTGAGTTTATTCCGTTCTGCATAACTTGGAATTGGAATGATAGAATATACATTACAATGTGGTACAATTTTCGGATTAGACAGTTTTCAACTTGCATTTGAACCAACCTAGAAACTCCATCTAGAGTCATAACTTCGACGTCAATGAAAATAATGTAAAATTTCAATGCGACGACAAAATATGAAAAAAAAAATATTACACTAAATAAGTAGGTATGTAATAAATTTACAATGTCATAACACATTCATAGTGTAATGTAGAATTATAATGAAAAAATTAAAACAGAATTGGGCTTCTTGACAAGTAGTAAATTATTGTATTATAGTAATTAATTGTTATGATTGGTGAAAAGTGTATAAAACATTTGATATCTCATAATTTTAAAGGTTGTTATTAACACTTTATTCTGTTCTTGTTTCAGAATCCCAACACGATGGACGGCTGTCAGTAATACAGTGTTTGTGAATATATTAGTTATTGCAAAGACTGACTAGTGTTATTCAGTGTTCAAGTGAGTACCTAAAATGGAGGCTAAAACTCACATATTGGCGATCGCCGCACTCCTTATAATTGGTAAGTTTTAGATTTCAATATGATATTTTTTGTGGCCGACAGGTTTAAATATGTCGTGGTAGCCGGGAAGGAAAGGCTCGTGCTACTCATGTCAAAGTGGCAAGAACAAACGTGACGATTTCCAAGTTATATATATGTAGTTTTTTTATGATATAGATACGGTAGAAGAAAGAGAAACAGCGCGAGGAAATCTGGACTTATAATTTATAATTATGAGTTTGAAATCGGCAATCAGCCTTAACTCATATCATCCTAGTGTTCCATTTTTGGAACGGATACTTTTTTTTTTTTAGTAATTTTTGAACGCATTTTTAAATAAATGTTTATTATGTTGGTATTACTAACATTTCTAGCTGTCAGTTTAATAAATGTCATTTCACTTCGCGCGGTTTTTCCAACCTATAAAAAATATTTTATTTGGAAGTTTTTAGTGAAAATTATGGCGAACAGAAAAACGTAAGTAATTATGATGTTTTATATTATACTATTGACAATTTAGGGTTTATACACATGTAATAATATGGTTATATCATATCATTATATGTTTTTAGAAAAAACATTACTAATTTGTGGGTAAGTGTAAGTTTTATGTACTGTTCCATTATTGGAGCAGTAGGAACATACGCACATGTAATTTTTATACATTAGGATTTTTATTTCATCAGTACTGACATGTAATTATGATATTATTTTATCGTAGATTGAATGTGAATCAAATAATCTCGCACTTAGAAGAAGATGATGACGTGTTCGCGGCTGATATTTTCATCACACCTCCTGATAACTGGCAAAATAGCGACGAAGACAGTGGTGACGAAGAGTTTGCAAGTATAAATAATTTGTCAAGACATCAGTTACTTGCAGAAGCTGAACTCCGGGTCACCAGATCGTCTCAACCTGAGTCTAGGATAGTGAATGAGCTCGTTGGGGATGAAAAAACAGTGCACTCAATACCTTCCACATCGTCAGTGTCGCAGCCTCCACAGCCCATCTCCTCGTTGACGGTAACACAGCCACCGCCAAAAAGAAGACGTGTTGAAGTCACAAGAAAGTGGAGGTTTGTAGATATTCCAGAAAAGTCTGAGAAGGAGTACTGTGAACCGGATTTCCTGGAAAACCTTGAAAACCCTGTTCAGTTTTTTGAACTATTTTTTGATGAAGAAGTGTTCGAATTACTGCGCTCAGAAACAGAAAAAAATGCGATTCAGAAAGGTAAACATGCATTTCGGATTACTACAAAAGATGGTACTGGCAGTTACTTATGTTTCCACTGAATGTGTCTGTCAATAACGCTTTTCAGCTGTACAAAATATCTCCAGCTGCAAAGAAAAGTAACGGTACGCCACATGATCTTTTATCGTTTACGAGGGATATTGTTTGTACATATTTTCTAATGAAAAATTCAGCCCCTAGTACTTTTACCATATCAAATCCTAAATCTTCACTAGCAGTAATAAAACGTGTGCCTGATGCTATTAGATTGGATGGTAAAGGACATCTGATTGACAAACAAAATAAACAAACTCGATGTGGTTTATGCCACAAAAATACTACTATGAAGTGTATCAAATGTAATGTTGCCTTACATAGCAAATGTTCTATTATTTTTCATACTGAATAACATACCTAATTGTATTTTTTTATGTAATAATTATAAGATTTAATAAATATTTAATTTTTCTAAGATTTAATAACTAATAACTGGTAAATACGATAGTTTTATTTCCAAACGGAATCCATAGCAAAAAGTATCTTACATGCATGTATAATCCTAGTGTTCCATTATTGGAACGGTTACAAAACTAAAAATCTAAATGAGATATATTTTTTTTTTATATGTAGGTCTCATTAAACATCTATAAACGTGCCCTGATCCGATTTTTATAAAAATTGGATTTGTTTTACTATGGTTGGGATGATACGAGTTAAGCAAGCGTGGTGCTGAGTGCTCAAATCTTCTCCGTGTGAGACTCTTCTCACACGGAGAAGATTTGAGCACTCAGCAGTGGGTGCTTATACCCTGATGATATGATGTTATGTTATCGTGTTACAAGTTTTCATTCAGCTTAAAATGTGTGTGTGTTGTGATCTCATCACTAATAGCAGACTTTTTAACCGATTGAGCTGATTTCATCATTATTTAGAAGGTAGATAGAAAGAACGCGATAAAGAGAGAAAGAGCCTCTCTCTTTCTTTATCGCGTTCTTTAAGAAAGATTCGGAGAGCAATAAGGAAAAACATACGAATTATACTTTTTTATTATTTATATTTAATATATGTCCAATACAATAACTTGAAATATATTTAATATGACCCTACTATCTACCTATGAAGCTCACCTATAGAACTATAAACCTTATTCCTTTGAGACTAAGATGTCGTTTTTAAAAGCAAACAACACAAGAGGAGTCGCAATATATTTTCTACCTAGCCAGCATTTTTGGGTTTAAGGTTATTAGAATTGGGGTTTCAAAACGTGGGTTAATTTTGATTTTGAGATCCTTTTTGAAGATGAGACCTTCGTTAATTTCACTTACATGGCGAATCGGTGTTAACGAAATGTTGTTTTACACCCGCCGGTTTTCTATGAGACCGTGGTATCACTCCGGTCGGATCGACCCATTCTCGCTGAAGCATGGCTCTCCGACAATTGCATCTTCGCAAAGCTTGTATTAAACAAACTGTCAAGTCATACTATTTAAGTAGCGGCCAAAGTCTGGTTTAATAATAATATTTATTTAAATTACAACAATATTCGAATAAATAAACAAATGAACATGCAACACATATTTGCATTTATTATTTTTAAGTATGGGAGAGTGTGCTTCGGCACGAATGGGTCGGCTCGGCCGGAGTGATATCACGGCCTCACAGAAAACTGGCGTGAAACAACCACAGCGTTGTTTCGTCGTGTGAGTAAGGTTACCAGAGGCCCAATCCTTCCCCTCCCCAAATCCGTCCCCAATCCCTAAATCTCCCAAATCCCTAATCTCCCAAAGGTCGGTCTCCCAAAAGTATACCCCTTACTCTTCTACAAAAAATAACAATTTTATTACACATATCATAATCATCTGCTTCATGTGGCAACGCATAAGCGAGGACTAAATATTTTCTAACTGAAGAAGAAATTATACAGAACCTCTTTTCGTCTTCGCCATTCGCAATTTTAACCACAGCAACTAAAAAGCATCGAATTAATTGATTACAAATAGCTACTACAGAATCTAGAACATTTTTTGTAAGCTGTTCTACAAATTTGATTACTGGGTGCTAAATGTAACTAAACGATTTCTATGAGTCATGATATAAATGTGAAGAATTTTTACATTTATTTTTTATTATTATGATAGACAGTTGGGACTTATTTGATAGCTACATCTTTATATTTTTGGCTATGTACGTATATAAAATTGGACCCGGATACGTCCATAAACTGCCACCAGGGACCGTGGAGTGGGCAACAGCATTCCATCCGTATATCGGTGACTTAACTGCGATCCCCAAACCTGTGGATTATGGCAACGTACCCTGGCCTGGCCACCCTGGCCTCACCCTCACCTGGCCTCCCCCTTAAGGGGGAAGGCTTTTATCCAGCAGTGGATGTTTACTGGCTGATGATGTACATAAAATTAATGAAAATGAAGACTTACTAGTTTTAAGTCAAAATGAAACTTAAAAAAAAATTGTGTTGTTGTAAGGCTATCTGGAGGTCAAAATCTAAGATTTTGTCTTTTTATGGGATATGTAAGCAAACGAGATCACGGACCACTTGATGGTAAGCAATCCGCGCCGCCCAAGTTGGGATACCGGTAATAAATACTAAAGTAGTATTTTGATTGACAGGACGAGATCTAAGTCGACAAAGGACAATGCTCGCTATGTATGGGGAAAAACCCAGGCCCGGCGCAAATGAAATGTATCTCCGATTTTAAGTATTCATATGTGACATGATATTCAGCATTAAAAAAGAAATTAATTTTTTAAATGTCATAAATTGCTAGTTGATTTATGTAAGGTGCTTTAAAAATGTGTTGTTTTTTTTTAATTATTTCTTTCTTTACTGTTATTCTATAAATGACATTTAGGCATCTATTTTGACAACGCCATCGTGTGTCATGCGTAGTATGGTAAAAGTATTTGTACATACATATTTTCTTTAAATAATTCTATTAAAAATTTTCTCTTACGAAAAAAGGATTAGCAAAATATTACGAATTTTTGAATATATATTTTTTTGTATGTAACAATGTTTACTATTTTATAGTAAAAATTTGAGATATGTACCGTTTGCGCCGGGGCCTGGGTGTTTTTTAGCATTATTCTTTGTGTCATCTAAAATTAGACTTTATGTTCTCATTAAAAAAGTCTCGTATAAACATGGCAATTATATCATAAAAATGCAAGTAAGTAATATCACCATGACACGGCTTGATGCATAACAGTGCATAATTAAGCCACAATTAGTTCTCAGAATCCGCATCATGTTGTCCCATCGAATTTTATCGCTTATGCGCCGAGGTATTTTTATTGACATGTCGTAAAATTATTTAAATTGAATAAAGAAGAAAGCTTTTTTAATGTTTTTTTTATAAACGTTTTCCCTCGCTGTGGTTTTCTCCTGTGTCTTCAAACAAACACAATCTATACTAATATTATAAAGAGGTAAAATTCGTAAGTTTGTATGTAGGGGGTAATGTTTGGAACCGCTGGTCGGATTGCCAAAATTCTTTCACTGATAGATACCTACAATGTTCCTGAGTGCTATAGGCTATAAAACATCACGCTACGATTAAATGGAGCCGAGCAGCGGGTGAAAGCAGAGCAGCGGGTCCAAAAAATGGAAAGCAGATCAAAGCTCCAGTTAATTTCTGAAAAGTGAAGACCAAACTGACCAGATAAGAGATAAATTCTGCGAACCAGATTTGTTCAAGTCTGATAGGTCTGCAGATAATATTCATTCAGTCAGACCATATCTACGAGAGAAAGTTATGGACGTTAAA